ATGATATATATAAAATATATTATCTCTATATATAATGTGCAGTTAATTATATATATAAATATATTATCTCTATATATAATATACAGTTAATTATATATATATAATCTCTCTATATAATGTGCAGTTAATTATATACATATAAAATATATTATCTTTTAAATATATTATCTCTCTATATAATGTGCAGTTAATTATATATATATATATATATATATACATTATCTCTCTATATAATGTGCAATTCACTGCTCACTATACAGAGAGATTTTATATATATATATATATAAATTCTCTCTGTATAACGCGCAGTGCATTGCCGCGTTTCGCTGCCCCCGGGCTGTGGATGTGTGACTCCTCCGCAGCGCTGCGGAGCTCGCAGCCCGTTCGCTGCTGCTGCTCCCGGCCCTGCCCGGACCCTCCTCCCCTGCTCTGCTAAGGCATCCCAGCAGCGAGTCTGCGATTAAACTTCCAAGCGTGCTCAAAGCTAGGTTTGAATTTTATCTTATTTTGTATTAAAAGCTGGGTAGGGGAAGGGAATTTGGAGAACCTTGTGTGTTTATAATCCATTCAGTGTTGACCCTTCTTATCTCGCACATGCTTTGCCTTGGGAGTCAAGAATATTTTATTAGTTCTTAGGGTTTCATACACTTCCAAATAAAGTCCCTGTACTGGAAAGCTGCTGTCCAAGCACCCTGCTCATATAATCTCCATAAGTGTTGCTCCAGAAAAGGAATGTACTGAAAAAATGTAATTCAGAATGAAATATGAGATGTGGCAATAAACTCCTTGACCAGAAAAGAAGTTATTTTTTAATTCCTTCATACCCTGGTGATAAAGTCATCCCCAAAATAACTGCTCCAGACAGAATTTTGGCTGTGACTCAGAGAACTGCAGGGAACTCTCTGAAAAGTTGTGAGGATGTAGTTATTTCTGTTGCTTTTATGGAGGATGGACTTGGAATACACCGTGGCAGAGTCGGATAAATAACTGAAAAACCTTTGGCAGCGTTAGGCACAGAACTCTAAACCCGTGAGTCCGGTGTGTGCGTACCAGATCTTTCCTCTTGCTGCTTCTCCCCAGGAGCCCGAGTTCTCCTCTCTGGGCCCCGGTTTCCCGTGCTCTGCTCCCCGCCCGGGTTCCCGGGGCTGCAGGGCACTCTCAGCTGAGGAGCCGCTTGGAAGCTGCTTTTTGTCCCGCTGGGCTCTGCTGGCTGGGGCTGTGCAGGGCTCCCTCTGCATTCCAGAGCCCGTCCCATGGAAAGGGGCAAATCCTGGCCTTGGGTGATGCCAAGGGCTCCCCGGGGAGGTGCGGGGCTCTATCAGCTGTATTTTCTTATAGCTTCCTCTTTTCAGAGGCATAGCTTTAAATTGTTTCTTAATTTTTGTATTTGGTTTGTCTTTTTACATTTTTTTTTCTGGTCTGCCTTGAAGCAATGCAGAAGGATGCTTTGGGGTGAAGGAGCATAAAGGTGTCTTGTTGCAGACTTCAAACAAACTGTGCCACGAGTAAATCCATATCAAATTCACATAAAATTGGTTGGCTGGAATGCTTTTGATGTTCCTAAGTTGGGGTACAAGAAGCACTCAGTGGAAATTACCCGTGAAGATCTGTGGGTCAGTGGGGTGCTGCTGAGAGCAAACATCTGGTGATGCTGAGGTTACCCGTGAAGGATTTGTGGGTGCTGCTGTGAGCAGACCCAGCTGTTCTGGTGATGCTGAGGTTACCCGTGAAGGATCTGCAGGTCACCCAGGTGCTGCTGTGAGCAGACCCGGCTGTTCTGGTGATGCTGAGGTTACCTGTGAAGGATCTGCAGGTCACCCAGGTGCTGCTGTGAGCAGACCCGGCTGTTCTGGTGATGCTGAGGTTACCTGTGAAGGATCTGCAGGTCATTCAGGTGCTGCTGTGAGCAGACCCGGCTGTTCTGGTGATGCTGAGGTTACCTGTGAGGGATCTGCAGGTCATTCAGGTGCTGCTGTGAGCAGACCCGGCTGTTCTGGTGATCCTCAGTCCGGCCGGGCAGCCAGTGTGGGTTCCCCACGAGAACAAGGGCTGTGTGTGACCCTGCTGGGGGCTCCGAGCTGCAGCTCTGCAGCGCCAGGGACAGCAAACAGTC